GGCCACATAAGATACGGTCGATAAACCCCTGGGACGTCTGGGCGGAATTGCGAAGACCGAAAGGCATGCGGACAAATTTAAAGAGGCCACAAGGTGTAGTGCGGGCAGTTTTAGGGATATCCTCTGGGGCACATGAGGCCTATCGATGTCATCTGCCCGGCATGTCCAGACTATTTCATCCCGTCCCAAAACATCTGCTAGTTGCAGCTAACACACCACCTTTGGCCCTAAAGTCTGTCACTGCCTCACCTTTGCTCCTTCGTCTGCCAACCGGGCAAACGAGTCAGGCGGAAGGTCGCTGTAGTCGGCCTCCCTGTCACCTGTAGCCCTGATCACGTCGACGTCTACATCAACGAGAATGACGGGAGTGCTCTGGTCGACACTGATGCGTAGCTGATTGTCATCCCTCTCAGACTGTCAGCATAAGCCCCGTCGCCGCCTTCGATGCCCGCTAGCCCGTCTGAATGCCGACCCCTGACAAGTTGCCCACTTCCCCTATGTCATTCATGGCGCAGACTTCCCACTTTCGATCTAGTCGACTGGTGGCAGTCCCGTCCACACGACTAGCTCTCACTGTTCGAAATATATCTTCCTGTGTAGTGTCTCGTTAGCTTGCTGTCCGTCACACCCAACCCAGACAGTCCGTTTCTTCGGCTCATTTCCAAGTATACCGGCATTACCCGTTAGGCTTCAGCTTCCTATCCCCACAATGATGTGTATCCAATTCGTACCGCCGGCCCTCCGCGCTTTCTCGGTCCCGTCATCTCGAGGTGATATGTCTATCACCCGACAAGGCTGAGTTCGAGCTCATGCTCCAGGTGGGCATTTTCCGCCAATCTAGAAGTCCTTAGGCCTCTCCCCTCCGCATGGTCCCCAAGGCTGCCACTGGTTACTCGTGCCTCTGCGGCAACTGCAGGGCCCTGTGAGTTACCATAATTTACAGCTGTCCCGTTCATAATCTCCATCATTCTGGTGTCAAGTTCGCCAAGTCTTCCAAGACCATCCTGATCGGGGAATTCCTTCAGATCCCGTCACCCAGGGGACGTATTGAGGACGATAGTCATTACCCCTTTGACCTCTTTCAATTCCTGTGTATGCTAATTGGACATCGCAACGCCTCCAACCCACAAACTGAACCTTTGGGAGATCTGTCACGTGGACTATATCTTCTAGTTCCCCTCAGACATCCGCTTCGGAATGAGATGGTTGGTGCACTGTCCAGGCCCTCAACCGCCCATCTTCATTTCCCTTCCGGGATAGACATCGGTGAGGTCGCTGATGAATAACATCTTGCTGGTTGCCCTCTGGCGAAGAAGTCTTCGGACTCCAATTTAAGGTCTACCTCTGACTGCTGACACTGGCACCGTTCTCTTCTACTTCGCCGTCACCTCTCACCGTCCATTTGTTCACCACCCATCCGCCACAAGGTCTTCCCCTCTCTGCACAACCTCTCACCCTATTAGTCGAACAAATGACAAGCTGGTCTGGCACGGGATGCATAAGCACCTGAAAACTTGGACACGGGCGTGTCTTGGCTGTCACCGGAGCAGAGTACAACAACAAAGCAAGGAGCCTATAGGCACATTTCTCGGCCCTGGTGAAAAGTTCAGCGACGTTCACTTGGATATTATAGACCACCTGCCTCGGCCAAACGACTGCTTCTGTCTTCTCACTTAAGTGGGTCGATTCACCCTGTTGTCGGAAATTCTCCCTCTCTCCGGTATGGGGGCTCCAACATTGGTCAACGCCTTCCTCAGACGTTGGGTTGCCATTTCCGGTGCCCTTCCACCAGTAGACTAGCCGTTGTGGTCAATTTGAATTTCACCTCTTCCAGTCTCCCCTTTTCTCAAGCTGTAAACGTATCCGAACGACAGCCTATCACCCGACTGTCAATTGGATGGTCAAACGGTCTTACCACCGGCTCAAGACATCCCGACACGCCGCAGAGGATCCGAAAAACCGGACGGACCATCTCCCCCTGATCCGTCTGCCCACACTTTCGCCCCTGATGTAGGGCCTTGACTGTGTCGTCGCCGAACTGATTTTAGGCGCCATTGTCTGACTGTACAGTGAGATCATCTACACGTCCCTCGACTGTGCGGTCGAGGGTTTGAACAGCTTACTAAGTCGTCTCCGTCGGGGATTCGGGGTGTCCAGCGGTGGGTTCATGTGACGGACGTAGTAGATCGGTCACTTGCTTGCAGGTGTAGACTACGCCTAGCGTCCATTTGCCGGCAGCCAACTCTAACATGCGGCTCCCTGGAGCTAAGCTCTGCCTAGCAGCCACACCCCGGCAACCGCCTCGACCGGCGGGCTAAACCAGCTGAGGGCATCCGTGTGTGCATTTCCGCGCACGGTAATGTGGACTCCGCTGGCCGGATGGATCTTCGCCTCAGCATAGTCGAGATAAAGCTCCGTCTAGTACATCGCAGGAGGCCACAAGCATACGGCGATGCAGTAGACAGACCCAGACCAACTCGGGTCGTTCGCCCACTAAACAAAGACGTGGCCCATATTGGGATTCGGCAGCCGCCTGACACAACTGAGCAGTCCTAATTGGGGATAGCACGGATCATCCCACTCAAGGGGAAGCGGCTGGAAAAGGTGACCTAAACAAATACTAGGGAATGAGCGCCCAATGCAGGCTGACAGCGGTTGCAGACGTTAATCTCACGGTCGAAACAATCAAGACCGAATCGATCCCCATCCTCCTCCTTCTTATGCTCCTTCTTCTTCTTCTTCTTCTTCTTCTCCTCCTCCTCCCCCTCCTCCTCCTCCTCCTCCTCCTCCTCCTCATCCTCATCCTCCTCCTCCTTCCGGCCGCCCCACTCGTCAGATTGGTAGGCTGAGTCCGCACACTCTGGCAGCCTGGAATGTTCGTTCACTTTTAGACAATCCGAGGAGCAACCGACCGGAACGGAGGACGACACTAATGGCTTGGGAACTGGCCCGCTACAAGGTGGATATCGCTGCACTCAACGAGACCCGCTTCTCCGAACAAGACCAACTGGAGGCGGTGGGTGCCGGCTACACCTTCTTCGGGAGCGGTCGGCCCAGGGCAGAGCGACGGGACGCGGGTGTCGCCTTTGCTATCCGGAAAGACATCGTGGGACGACTGCTCTGTCTACCGCAAGAAATCACAGATCGTCTGATGAGCCTCCGCCTACAAATTCAAAGGCAAATTCGCCACCATCACCAGCGTCTACGCCTCCCCGATGATCAGCCCTGACAAGGCGAGGAACAAATTCTACGTGGACCTTCATGCCCTCCTGGCGACTGTGTCGAAGGCGTAAAAGTTGACTGTCCTTGGCGACTTCAGCGGCGCGTCGGCACAGACCATGCTGCCTGGAGAGGAGTGCTGGCTCCTCATGGTCTCGACGGCTCCAGTCACAATGGCCTGCTCCTTCTCCGCACCTGCACAGAACACTTACTCATCCTGACGAACACGTTCTTTTGCCTGCCGATGCAGAGAAGGCCACATGGATGATCTCGCCAACCCCGCAAGGTGCGGTTGAGGATCCCACCAACCTCCTGCATCGCCTCCGGCAGTTTATGCGGACACTTTCCCCGGTTCCTCCCAGGTACTCCGCCTCTCCGTCTTATCTCGAGAAGGACTTGGCAACGTGCTCTCACGTCTATTACCGATGTGATCGAGTCCGCCGGCCTCTGGAACCGCCCTATGACGGCCCATTTCGGGTGCTCTCTCGTGGGATGAAGACTTTCCGCATTCAGCGCGACAATCGTGAAGAGGTCGTGAGTGTGGACCGCCTCAAGGCTGCCGTCCCGGACACTCCTCCGGATGAGCTCTGTGGTCCCCTACCCCTACTCCGCCTCCCCGACCCTCTATCCCTCCGTCCCGTATACTTCCTCTGCCCTCATGTCCGTAACCCCCAACTGCAGCTACCCCTTCAACAACAAACAACACTGTAACCGCCCGCCATACACACTCTACACCTGTGCCCACTGTATATATTGTCGAAAGTGGTGTGGTCGACAAGATAAAGATTCCCAATCAAAAGTCAGGGAAGACGGTTTGGAAAAACCGTGCATCTCCATAAGCCGATCAGCCATCTGAGTAAGGTTGCGTGTTCATATCACGTCGGGGTCACCAGTTGTCGAAGTTGTGTCGTCGACAAGATAAAGATTCCCAATCAAAAGTCAGGGAAGACTGTTTGAGTTGGACAAACTTTACTGCTTGGAAAGCGTGTACACAAAGGCTGTGTGGGCAGTCGCCGCAAGCGCGCTCCTAGCAAGCTATTGTCTGTGTCCGCCTTCGAGGTGTTGTGTCCGCGCGTGTGTGCCCCCTTCGTTGTCTCCACGTCGCCAGCCAATCAGAGTGGGGACAGCGTTGATTGGCTTCGAGCACTCGCGCATCCCATCAGCGCATCAACAAGGAGTGTGAGGCGGACAGGAGGGCAGCGCGACAAAGGCGGAGAGAGGAGACGCGAACTGCTACAATATCACCCGTGGTGGACGCCATGTTTCTTTTCCTGACCGTTTGATTACTCATGTTTTTTAGACACCAACAACTCCTTCGGCGCCGCTACGCCCCACCTTCGGTCTGGCCGGGGGGTACGGTGGCAGTTCGCGTCTCCTTGCCTCCGCCTTTGTCACACTGCCGTCCTGTCCGCCTCACACTCCGTGTCGATACGCTGCTGGGACGCGCGAGTGCTGGAAGCCAATCAACGCTGTCCCCACTCCGATTGGCTGGCGAGTTGGAGACAACGAAGGGCGCACACACGCGCGGACACAACACCTCGAAGGCGGACACAGACAACAGCTTGCTTGGAGCGCGCTCGCGGCGACTGCCTACAGAGCCCTTGTGTACGCACTTCCTCAGGCAGTAAAGGTTGTCCAACTCAAACCGTCTTCCCTGACTTTTGATTGGGAATCTTTATCTTGTCGACCACACAACATTCGATAAGCTGATACTGACACCGCCGACTTCTCATGTCCACACTGCCCCCCGCAAATTTACCTCACCCATCGGCCTGGTCGGTCACTTGCGAATCCGTTGTACAGAAACTGGCGAACCAGCGCCTGGAGCACCAACCTACACTCGCCGCATCCGCCTCCACTGTTCACATTGCGCTCGCACACTCATGCACCGAATGGGCCTCTTCGGCCACATGCGCGTCCAATAAAACCTGCGATAGACAACCACCGGCTGTATCACACCATCAGATTCTCCCTCACCAGCATCTCGTCGCACATCAACATCACCCACCACAAGCATCCAAATGCCACCTCCTACGCATGTGGGAAGTGTGCGTCTTGACTGCTTCTTCATGCAGCTCCCCACCTGCATGTGTGACTCGAGTCTGAGACGAAGACGGTGCGTCAATCGCCGTGACTTGGAAGGCTGCTGGCTGAGACCCCAGCTAAGTCAACGCAGTCTGCCCAGTTGTGTGTGTTGTATGGAGTGGCAGACTGGTGGGCTGAGAGCCACGCTTAAACAGCTCCGTCTATACGTGACCTACGGCACACTCACGCATGTGAGATGTACACCACTCAACCCTCGTGTGAAATCCGGATGCTCGTGTCTGGGGGGCCAGGTCGTACGTGTGGCGCGCGCAGACAAGTCCACCAGACTATATCAGCCACCACGCCCATTTTCAGCATCAGTCGACTGACCAGCTCAGACAGTGGCCGGGGCCTGGGAAGGGAGAGTGAAGTCGACGACTCAACATATTTTCCTCACTATAAACAATCTGATGCGCTTGAAGCTATCACGCTGCGCTAACAGCCATGGCTTGGAAGGTTGCCAATTGAGGGGATAAATTAGACCTCGCAGTCGGCCCAGTGTTGTGTGTTTGAGTGGAGTGGCCGGCTGGTAGTCTAAGAGTCGGGCTGCAATGGCTCCTTCTTAATGTGGCTTTTATGGCACTCCCGCTACGTGGGATCCGAGCCGGGTGTGGTAGCACGCCTAGGTGCGGGTCCGGTCGTGTCAGCTACCTGAGCCTCCCCGCATCCGGTCTTCTCAACTCTGTCTTGACACCGGATCCAGGTGGGGAGTGGGGAGGAGAGAGAGTGCAGTAGATGCTGTGCAAGTCTACCATCATTATAAACTGATTCATGCGCATGCCACTGTGTATATTTCACTGTTCAGTGGAGCACACGGTGAAAGTCGTCGGAAAGGACGGTGGAACTGTGTACTTCGTCTCCGCCAATTAGTGCGAACAGTCCACCCTCCATTCTGCCAAGGCTAACGACCTCCGAGTCTTATCTCGAGAAAGACTTGGAGAAGTGTTCTTACGTCTACATTCGATGTCATCAAGTTCGGTGGTTGTTGTAATTGCTCTACCACGGTCCCGTTCGGGTTTCCTCGGTGTAAAAAGGACGTTCAGCATCCAACGTGGAGCTTTCGAGGAGACCGTGAGCATGGACCCCTTTAAAGCTGCCCTCCCGGACACATCCGGACGCGCGCTGCGGTTCGCTTTTTCCTGTTTCGCTACCTCCCCTTCTATCGGCCCCTGCATTTCGTCTGCTTCCTGTTCTTTCGTATCCGCCGCCATCAACTGCGACCTCAAAATCTCTAATCGTAGCACACTTTACTCTACTTCTGTAGTTCCCGTTTATATTGCTTGCAGTTGACATCACGTTGTCTTCCCCGACCGGCTGATTACTCATGGTTTTTACCCAAAATATTCCCCTCGATGTTTCCATGCGCTGCCTTTGGTCTACCCCGGGGCCTACTAAGAGAGATAGATCGATAGGTAGGTAGGCAGAGAGAGCGAGGGGGGATGGAATTCGCTTTATTTTCAAAGTATGAGTTCAACATTTTCAGAAAAAAGGGGTCTCATTTACGGTGAAAAGAATATAGGTTAACAAACTGCTCAAGAGTCAAAAAGGTTTACACAGGTAAGAAACAAGTATTAAGGGGACAATCCAAGTCTTAGTTTCTGTATCTCTGTCCCTTTATATGTAAGATAGCGCCCCAGGATTAGCAATGAAGAATGCTGATATGGCGATGAACGGCAAGAGATATGTCGAAAGCCATGAGCATGGGGCGGGAAGACTTCGCAGAGATTAGTTCAGAATGAGGAGGATGAACAATGTCATCCAGAATTCGAGCCGCAAATTGCTTGACGGTATGAAATGTCGCTACACACCAACATCAACAAAAAATATGGAACACCGGTAGCAGAAGTGAACAATCGGAGTGTGGCGGTCTGCGCGCGGTCTCCAGTGTGGCCGTTCGCACACGCAGTCGTGCGTGTCTTGTCTACAAGTTGTTTTAACCGCGTGTAAATTGGGACCGGCGCGGTAAAGGCTAGGGTGTTAGTCGCTTACTGGCTGCAGGCGGACAATGCCCGGACGTATGCATGATTTCTTCGCCGGGGCCAAAATCAGGGGCTGATGAACTACGCGTGCACTCTCCAACCTCACTAAGTAATATTCGAACTTTGTCTTCCTTTACTTTGTTTTTGGCATTTTCGAGTTGTCAAGTATCTTACCTCCGACAAACACCACGACAGGGGTGGGTATTCAGTGGAATATGCTTGCCACGGGCCGCACAAACTTCGAACTGTCGATGAGCACAGAGAAGGTTATGATTATGCGTTAGCAGTTATCAAATGAGGGGGGGTAGGGGTGTCCAGTGGTGGGTCCACTTGATGGCCGTAGCAGGTCGCTCACTTGCTTGCAGGTGCTGGCTACACCTAGCGTCCATTAACTGGCACAAACTCTAGCCTGTGGCTCCTCGAAGCTAGGTTCTGTTAGGCGGCCACACCCCGGTAACCACCTCGACCGGCGGGTATACGTGTACGTGTGTTTATCCCCACACATATGCACGTATATGTGTGGGAATAAACACAAAGGCGATCCCGGGTGGAACGACGATCGCCTGGTCATCTCTGAGATGAGGATTCATCTACAGCCTCGCAGGAGATCCTAAGGTAAGCGACCGACGCATCCGACGATGTCCATCGTGTGCTCCCCCCTTCTCCTACCACTTCTCACCCATTTACCCCACCACCCCCCTCCTCCATCCCCTTCTCCTCCTCTTTGCCCCCATATCCTCCCTCTCTACTCCACTTTCTTCCCCACGGTCGGAAAGTCCTATGGCGAGGGCGACATGCAGTCACGTAGGGGACAAAAGGCCACGGGACGTTCCATCACCAAGCCTAGTTACCCTGTGGCAGTCCGCGTCTCCTCGCCCTCCGCCTTTGTCACGCTGACGTCCTGTCCGCCTCACACTCCTTGTCGATACGCTGCTGGGACGCGCGA